GAGAGAGAGAGAGGTTCATCTTTTTCTCTTGGCCCTTCGGAGAGCCAGCCTTTGAGAAACATTGGAGACTGCATTTGAAGAAGATGACTCTTGTGTCATGGCTTGAAGATGTAGCAGTCATAAGAAAGACCGACTTATAGAGCTACATAATTAATCCGTTGTTATTCACGCAAAAATAAATAAATCCATTGTTAAGGGCGGGGGGCACTTGATAAGAGATTCTTGGTAAATGGCACTTGTAGACCTCGGGGCCAATTAGCTGAGAACCTTGATTCTTATAATTTAGGAATATCAATATTAGAACAGGAGGAACCCCGTTATATGACATACTTGAAACCTCGATTCCTTAACCAAAGGAACTTGTCTAGCTCTACTTACCTCATTTTTTTGTATAGTGGAGCTTAGATTCCTGTTAGTCAAAACATCGAACCCACTGGCATTGGATCTCGCTCCCATAAACATAAGGATCTCACTCCTTGTCTTGTTCATTGTACGGACGCCGATTCTAACCCCAGGGAGCTTCCACTGTAGGGCGGTTCGGCGAATCCCGAACCGATCCAGCTCATGCCTCCAACAACTATGGACCTTTCACTTGCAACAATGGAGGATAGAGAGGGGAAGATAAAGAGAGAAAAAGAGAGAAAAAAGAAGCTAATGGGCAATGTGCAACCCAATGAGCAAAAGCTCGTTTTGTTGCACTAGTGGATATACTCATTCCAACTTTTCTTTGGAAAGAGCATATCCGTGTTTTGAGCCTTTCTAAGGGTATGCAAAACCTTAATACTGAGCCAAATGGCTTTAATGGCTCATATCCTGGATATGCAACTAGCTTTTGCATGTTACAGGATCCAAACGACCTGTAAGTGAGAAACTAATTTTTAATTTTATTTCAACTTTCATTAATTAATGTTATTTCTACATGTTTAATTTTTTGTTCGAACGTTTTTCATTTTTTTTCAATTTTTTTAAGTTAAGCTAAATACTATTGGAAATTCTAATTTTTGGTAACAATCATCAGCATATAAAAGTACTTCCTGAATTTTTACGAAGTTTTGTTTTTATGTTTGCTCCTTTTTCTTGTCCTTTCTTTCCACTCACTCATTCTTTTCAACATTCAGAAAAGAAAAACATATTATTTTTATTAAATTTTGATTTATTTTAATCCGAGGTACGTATTTCTTTTTGTCAACTTTATTATTTAATTTGGATAGCAAATCGAAGAGATATTTAAGTAAATAAATTTTTAGGTATGATAATTTAGAGGGAGGAGTGAGTATAGGAAATTAAGAGTGAAAACTAAGGTGGCGAGAATTCTAGAAGTCACGCTCTTATTATTCTCCCATAGATAGATATGTTCTTGGTGTTCCTCCACATTTTTGTCCTTCTTTTATTACGTTAATGATTCCTATGGTTTGTCTCTAGTGATGCTACGACCATTAGTTTATGATGTACGAAGCATCACTGTGTGCTGCACCTTTTTGTTTATTTTGAGAAATAACTGCGTGCTACACTTTTTGCAGTTCTTCAAAGACCTTAATATTACAGCAGATCAAAAGAAGATCTTGAGGAAAGCAGTCTTCTCGTATTATGATGCTGCAGCTGATCTCCTACAGGCTGAGCATAATGTAAGAATCCACAATTTTACTCCTTACGTTCATAAATTTTATTCCCATCCATGATCCTTATGCAGATCTCAGGAATTTTAGCAGATACCGAGTTTTCATTCCTTGATTTCATATGGTGTTTATTCGTTTGTGTTGGGATTTGTGGATAGGTTTTAAAAATTGAGCTTGATTGTATACACTGACCTCTTCCCTGATTTGTATGCTACATTGAACAGTCACTTCGGCAGATGGAACACGAAAATGCTAAGATTTTGAATGCGAAGGGGGAACTCTGCGATGAAAATGTGAATGCGTATGAAAAGCTTCGGAAATCTTACGATCACCTGTTTCGCGGTGTCTCCTCGTATGTTTCTTAGTACTCTTTAGCTTTGAATCGTTTTGTGAAGTTATGATACATTGCAATCCATGTATAAATTTACGACTATGCTGCCCTATTCTTTTATGATTGATGAAAAATTGCCTTCTACATACATCAGAAATTAGTTAGAAGAGTTGCCTTGCTTTGGTAATGCTTTTAAAACAACTGTTTCCATCCGAAATAAAGAAATCCTCAGTTCCATCTTAATGATGGTTTTATCATTTTTGTTTCTATGTAGTTTTGGCTCTAGCAATTAGAAATTGTCTTGACATGGAAATGGAAGATAATTTTATTTTATTTTTGATAATGAATGGAAGATAATTTTATTTCTCCATTTGGTCCAACTGATATTACTATATCAGGAGTGTTTGGGATTATTAATGCATCAATCTAATGTCTACAATGTATTTTTTTAACTTTTAAAAAGGAAAATGAACTTCACGGCATTGATAAGTTGATTAGCTACTTTCCAGTGATTCTGCTGTTGTATTTGTTACTTATGGTGCAGAATTACTTGTTCTTATTTACTTATGATATACTGCATTTAATGGTTAATCTTTGTAACTGATCCTTGATTATAGGCTTCTATGACTCAGTTTTTATCTGGAAAATGAATGAATTATGTGTTTCTTTTTATATATTTAAATTTTTTTGCACCATATGTTAGTTTGAAAGTCATCATCCTCCTTGCCAGATATTGTAGAGCTGATTATTGCCCATATAAGCCATCAGTGTTGATCAATCTAGATTGTGTTTGATGTTCATATGTTTCATAGTTCTTCGCTTGTATGTGGTAGTATATCAGTAATTTTCATTTTTTTCCACAGTTTATGTGGTGTATATTTGTCGGGTGCCAAAGTTACTTGAGCAAAGTTTCACTTGTAAATACGTACATCACTTGTTTCTCAAGTAGGCTTACATAGTTCAGAAGCCCACACGTTGAGGCTTGTATATGTGTGTGGAGTTAGGTAGTTTTTATTTGATTTATCTTCTCCAAAATGTTATGGTTTCTCTTGGTAGTCATGATTTATAGTGAGGTTGGGAATTTGTGTGCTGGGATGCTACCTTATGTTTATGTTATTTTATCCTATACCAAAATTCAATGGGATGGTTAAGAGTTCTGGCAGTGAATTCTTTTGTGAAGGAGACCTTAGGTTTGATGATTTGGCTTGCATTTCTAAAATCTCAAGATCTATGTGTTTGTTGCAGTATCCATGATTCACTTGGACTGTTTATTTCGATGAAAATCTTGTTGGGGTTTTTGTGGCCTTTGAAGGCCGTGAGAGCATGTAAATAAAAATTATAGTAGTTTATACACTTCAGTGGGAGTGTGTGTATGTTAGTTGATGACCTAGGGTCAGGCGATTATAACTCTGGTTATATCCAAAACCCTTACACCTGGGGATGTGGCACTACCGAAAAGGGTTTTTAGAGGGTACCTTTGTTGAGGTCAGAAAGATGCTTAGGGATGGTTTGTAGGCTAGGAGAACTTTGTGGTATCTTATATGTGGATGTAGGCCTATGAGAGCAAGGGCTAAATCCTCAACAAACTTCGCATGGCTTGTACACATAACGGCGACATTACCGAGAAGCAACTTTGGAAAGGGATACGTCTACATGTGCATAAAGAGAGTGCCCCTACACCATAGTGTATTATGTGCATGTTACTTGCTCTTAAGGAGGGCATTTGTAAATCCTTATTCCAAGACTGTGGGTCCATTATTTATTGGCCAAAGCCCTTTTATGAGACTGTGGGCCATGGGTCTCGTAGGTTGGTTTGAGAGGATAGTCGAGTATAGGGTCGCAATCGAGTCGGGTCGACCATGCGGGTTGAACCGATTCAGGTCCATGTCTAGGTCCAAAACCCCAAACTCGAGTCGAATCTGGGTCAGGTTTGGGTCCAATTCGACCGCGGATCCAACCCAAACATATCTATATTCACACATACATATACATATATTTATACATACATACATATATATATTTATATATATATACACATAATAGTTTTTGAAATATATAATATTTTGATAGATTTACCTATATATGTATGATGTTTGTGTGTGTGTGTGTGTCTTTCTCTCTCTCTCTCTCTATATATATATATATATATATTTGAATTATATTTTTGATTATTTTTTCAAAATTTTTTTGTTAGGTTCTAGACTTAGACCCGAACCGGATCGGGTTTGGATCCGAGTCCAAAACCCCATACCCGAGTTGGGGCTGGGGCAGGTCCAGGTCGACTTGGACCTGACCCGACTCATTGCTAACCGTAGTCGAGGACCATGATTATTGGGTCAGGTGGAGTGCCTTGACAATCACTTATTTTTTATCAATTGGTACCTGTCCACATCTAGATTTTTTTTTTTCGTTTCTTGTTTTAGTGTAATAAATGTTTCTGTGAATTTTAGAAATTTTTCTAGAAGTTTTAGAATTAATTTCAGCAATAAAAACCGTTAAAAGTGCGTTTGTGAAATTTTGAAACTTTGGAGGGGTGGAGTGGTACACATGGGGGCCCATAGGTCTAGCCCATGTGTGCCAACACCCACATGGGTTGGGTGTAGAGCCCTTGGGGCATGCCCCCTTTCTCTCTTCTTTGTGTTTCTTATTTTAATTTGAAAATGTTTGTTCAATTAGAAAACCTTTTGAGAGGATATTATGTTCTTATTTTGTGGGAGTTGGATGTTTGAAAATATTGTTTGTATTGACAAATATTTTGAACTTCCTACAATTTTGTTGGATATAAAGGAAGTTCTAGAAGATTATTTTATTGATCGGTGTTATCCTGGTATGGATCAAAGATTCAAGGGATAAGATTCCTGGATTCCTCCCTTAGAAAACTGATTCATGGGATGGATAGCTCAGATTTAATTCTCTCTCACCTCATAGATTTCCTAAAATCCTATTATTCGTGATGAGTCATAATTGGATAGGCATTCTTAGGGGTGTCACACATCACCCTATAGTTACATAAAGGGGGCACGCCCAGCCCTAGTTAGGTTGAGGAGAGGTGTCACACAGTGGCCTGCTCCAAAGGTTCAAAAGGGGTCTAAAAACTTTAATTGTGTTATGTTTTCATAACCCTAGTTTGTGAGGTATTGCCTAAGAAAAGCTTCATGGCTCAGAAAATTCAGAAAGGCCAATGGGGTCAGAGCACACGGTCAGGAAATCGGCTGTGTGGGGTACTAAGTCCTATAGGGGTGACTTGGGCAAATTCGAGTAAGTCTTCCATGCTATTCGCTTTTATTTTTAAATCGGTACTTGCTTTATTTAATTGTCAAGGAACATTACTTGTACTTAAAATGTTAGCGGAAGCTTGTTTTTAAATCCTAGATTGTTTATTCTATTTGGCAACAAAAGTAAAGATCCTAGGTTGTATTGAGGGTGTTATTCTGGCACTTGTAAATGGAATTCAGATTCATTAATAAATGAAAAGAGAATTTTTTATTTTACTCCATTGAATTCAACGTAGCCACTTCTTTTAGATATGTTGTCATTCTTGATTCCACCAATGGTAGTGTTAGTTAAAATGTGTCATTCAGATTTTTGTGGTTTCTTATTATCAAATAGACAAATAAAGTAGTGTTTTTTCCCCCCCTAAGGTTTACATGCAGTAGAGCAGCAACATCGATTTTGTTTTCAAGTTGGAATTGCCTCATATTGTGATAGCAAATCCTCCAAAGTGAGGTTCAAAAGGCCATTAGCAAAAAGCGATCATGTTATAAAACTTGACAATGTAATAGAAACGATCAAAACTTAGAAAAATATAAAAATGCTAAGAAAAATGCTAAACAAATAGTAAATAAAACTAAATTTAAGGCATATGATAATCTATACAATAAACTGGGAACAAGAGAAGGTGAAAAAGATATCTTCAAATTAGCAAAATTAATAGAGAAAAAGTGTAGGGATCTAAACCATATTAAATGCATTAAGATTCAGGATCAAAGGATCTTGGTGAAGGATGATGAAGTCAACGAAAGGTGGAGAGTTTATTTTCAAAAATTATTAAATAACGAACGCAATGGGAACATAGTGGTAGAACAGATTGTTGTTACAAGTGACGGCGAAGGTCATAGATACATTCGTAGGATTAGGATGTCGGGAGCGAAATAAGTTTTGAAAAGGGTGAAGATAGGAAAGGCTTTAAGACCGGATAGTATCCCAATATAGGTTTGGAAGTGTATGGGGGAACTAGGCATTGACTGGTTGATGAAGCTATTCAACAAGGTGTTGAGAACAATGAAATGCCAGACGAATGGAGGAAAAGTATTGTGATACCTATTTACATGAACAAAGGAGACATACAGAATTGTGCAAACTGTCGAGGGATCAAGCTTATAAGCCATACTATGAAGCTTTGGGAGAGAGTCATCGAGCAAGGACTAAGGCATGAAACGAGTGTATCTAAAACCAATTTGCTTTTATGCCAAGAAGGTCAACAACTGAGGATATTTTTCTACTTAGGCAATTGATTGAGAAGTTTAGGGCAAAGGGAAAAGATCTTCACATGGTCTTTATTGATCTAGAGAAAGCTTATGATAGAATACCTCGAGATTTGATTTGGTGGGTGTTGGAAAAGACAGGCGTCTTGAGACTCTACATCAACTTGGTGAGAGATATGTACGATGGTGAGGTAACTAGTGTACGAACAACTAGTGGAGAAACGAGTGAGATTTCAGTGACAATAGATTAACATCAAGGGTCAACATTAAGCCCATATCTCTTTGTCTTAGTTAAGGACGACTTAACTAGGCACCTATAGGATGAGGTACATTGGTGCATGTTGTTCGTCGATGACATAGTTTTGATTGATGAGACCCGAAACGGCGTCAACACAAAGTTAGAATTTTGGAGGTATACTCTATGATCCAAAGGTTTTAAAATTAGTCGAACTAAGACAGAGTATATGGAGTGCAAGTTTAGTAATAATAGGAGTAGAGATGAGGAAGTTGTTAAGATTGACGGCCAAGAAGTACGAA